GGGTCCAGACCTGAAATGTCAGCTTTCCTGCTCCTCTGATGCTGCTTGGCCTGCTGTGTTCATCCAGTTCTACACCTTGTCATCTAAGGTAGTGGTTGAGCTGTCTTTTGAACTGCAGCAGTCCATGTGGTGTAGATACACCTACAGTGCTGTTAGGGAGTATCAGGTTTTTAACATAGCGACAATGAAGGAACAGTCATATATTTCCAGGTCAGGATGATTTGTTACTTGGAGGGGAACTTGCAACTGGTTTTGCTCTCATGTATCTGCTGTTCTTGTTCTTCTAGGTTAGTGGTCTCCAACTTTCTGAAGCACAAGATCACTTTTTGAATTTAAGTGCTACCCATTATCTATCACAAAGAAAATATACAAACAATTTATTTTTAGTGCTAAATAAAATTAAAACCACATATCTTAAAGCTGTCCTCTACTCATCAACTCTCAGGTGTAACACCTATGACTTCACATTATCTGTCAGTTGTAGCTCGAGACTGCTCTTCATTTGGGAGAATGTGGTCATATGTTTACTCCAAGCAACTCTAAGTTTTAAAAGCACAGGATGACAGAAGCAGGTATTTATCGCTGTTTATGAGCCCCCAAGGATCATCGTCCCTTAAATGTGGCTTTCAGTTCAGTATCATTATAAGTAGTAATTTTCTCCGTAACAACTCAAATGCTTAGTACATCAGACACCTGAAATTGGTAGTCAATGTACCAATGTCCACTTGAAGAAACAGATTTGACTAAATATTATGATTTATTCCAATATTTAATTTCTGAGATCACCTGTTGAATTCCTCTGGTAACTTTCTCAGGTGCACACAGATGTTTTCTGGGTGGGATCATTTTTCTTTGATTTTTTTGCATATTTTCACCAGATTCGAAGTGATGCAGCATTTTGCTTAGTCTATGTCCTTATACTGCAGGTAAGAGTTCAGCTCATTCAGTTTTGACATTGTCTCTGTAAGGAACCCAAAGTCAAGCAACCATGCATTGTCTGACACTTCATTGGACACTTTTTCCTCGACTTAAGAACAATGACGATTTCAGCATCAGATCTAAAAAGAAAATCTTTCAAGAACCTTCTCTGGACTTAACCTACCTCACAACAGCCTGGAGGATTAGTTCACCATTAGTTGCATCAAGTAAATGCAGGAAAAGAAGATATGACGAATTTTGGATCAGCCATGATCCTATTGCATGGCAGTGCAGGCCGGAAGGGCTGAACAACTTACTCCTGTTCCTATTTCTTATGGTCTAGAGGTCTTATGTAGCAAGGATTTAGACAAGCGGTGGTGAAAGGCTCCTGGTCAAATCTGGTTTACAATCTTGACAACAACTCTCATTGCGTGAGAAAAGTCCATACTTTACTCGTTAATGCCTTTGGTGGATTAAACAATGGTAATTGGCAAAAGAGGGGATTTCAGGATCATTTCTGCAACAAACCCTGCATTTGTGCCAAAGATGGCTGGTGCACCAACAGGTGTGATGGAAATCAGGTTCTTGATTGGAATGCTTTTCTCAAAAACCTACCTCCTGAATTCATTGCAGAGATTCTCATCCTTGTTCTGTCTTTAACAGACAAAATAGTGAGAAGATCCTCTTTAGTTATTCCTTTAAAACCCATGTGCATGAAAATAATCAGCTGAGCCATGTCGATAACGTTGACAGATTAACTGACTGCAGTGAAAAGCATTCACAGTCCTGCAGATACTGTAGTTGCTGAAAGACACCTTTGGACAAAACGTCCACTCATCTTGCGATGATGCAATCAACAAGTAAGATGCTTTGAATTGCTGCTGTTATTTCTTCCGTGTTCTTGAAGTCTTTGAATAAAGAGAGTCAACTGCCACAGTCGTTGTTTCTTTAATTATTTCATCAACTGTGAATGATCTCTTGATCTGACAATAGGTGACGAATGTGAAATGATGCTTCAATGCAGGTTTATCTTTTGTTGCTACTTTAGAAAAAAATACTGTTAAACCTTCAAATCAGCCATCAGTTCTATAATTTTCTTTGTCAAAAGCATGCTGCTTGAGATAAAACTATCCTTGAATATGCTGTGTGGTGTTATCCCATATTTCCCTTTTTATTTATTGATATACTTTGGTGACATACAAGGCAAATGTTTCATGGTTGAGAACAGAAATTCATTTTTTAATCTGCACAGATGTTATACAATTTTGGTTTCTTTGCAGATGGTCCAGTCCCACAGTGCCTCATGGACGCTCAGTTTTGAATTGCTAGATCTATTTGAAATCTATAGTGATGGTACCACACAATATAATGAAGACACAGAACTTTGTCTCACAAGGATTACGTGGATACACCTGTACTACCATGGACATCTATGACAAGTAGATTGATGAGGACAAAATCAAATAGGTTTTCTTCCTCCTTGTTGGTTCCCTCAACACCTGCTGCAAACCCAGTTTAATATCAATGTCCTTTAGGACACAGCCAGTTTGGTCAGTACTGGTGCTAGCAAGCCACTCTTGGTGATGGTCAGTGAAGTTCCCCAATCAGAATACATTCTGTGCCCTTGCTATCTTTAGTACTTCTTCTAAGTGATGTTCAACATGGAGAAGCACTGATTCATTAGCTGAGAGGTGCATTCAGTGGTAACCTGCAGGTTTCCTTGCCTGTGCTTGACCAGATCTCAGGAGACCATAGAGTTCAGAGTCAATGTTGAGAACTCAAATCAAAGTGCTGCAAATGCTAGAAATATGAAACAAAATTGAAGTGCTGTAGAAACTCATCAAATCTGGCAGCACCTGTAGAGATGCAAATTGAGCTAATGTTTTAAGTCCAATGACTAGAAAATTGGTCATGGTCAGGTTTAGGAGATTCTAAAGTCTCATTCTGTGATTAGGACTTATGCCAGGTTTTGCTTTACTTGTCTGAGAGTCAGCTCTCACAAATCTTGGCACAGACATCGAGATGTTACTAAGAACTTTGTAAGGTTGACAGGGCTGTATTTGCCATTGTAGTTTCCAGCGCCTATTTTGAGGTCAGGTGGTCCACCCAATTATCTTCCTTTCCTTAGGCCTCAAAGTGGTTTGATACAACTTAGTGGCTTGCTTGGTCCTTTCAGAGGGTTATAAAGAGTCAACCATTTTGCTGAATCATGTTTAAGTCATGTGGAGGCCAACCCAGGAAAGCATAGCAGATATCCCTCCCCAATTGACATCAGTGAAGCAGATGAGTCTTTTTTTTAACATTGTGTGGTATAAGGTCTACTGAGATTGGATTTTAACTCCAGATTTATTAATTGAATTTAAATTCCACCTACCGCCATGGCGGGATATGAACTGAAAACAAAAATTGCTGGAGATCACACTGGGTCAGGCAGCATCCATGGAGAGAGAACAAGCTAACCTTTCAAGTTCAGGTGACTCTATATCAGAGCTGATATGAAATGTGGAGGGGGCAGCATTTATGCAGTAGTGTGGGGTGGGGAGTTGGGGGAGAGAGACTGTTGATTGTGTATATTAAGTGATCGGAATGCGAGAGTGGCAGAACAATGGTGTTTCCAACTATCAAACTGGAAAGAACTGATGGTCCCACTGGAGTGGGTGGAGGGGAGGGGAGAGACACATGGTGACAGAGAATACAAGTAAAGCTAAATGAAATGGAAGAAATGTGAGTGAGTTCACAATCTGAGAGTGCTGAACTCAATATTAAATCCAGAAGGTTGTAAAGTGCCTAGTCTGAAGATGAGAAGTTGTTCCTCCAATTTGAGCTGAGATTGACTGGAGTGTTGCAGCATGCCGAGGAGACAAGTGGGAATGCGAGCAGGATGCTGTGTTAAAATGAACAGCTACGGGAAAGGCAGGGTCATGCTTGCGTACGGACCAGAGGTGTTCTGCAAGTGGTCACCCAGTCTGTGTTTGGTTTTTCCAATGTAGAGTAGGTCTTATTGGGTGCAGCAAATGCAATAGACCAGATAGGAGGAAGTAGAGGTGAAATACTGCTTCACCTGGAAAGACTGTTTAGTTCCTTGGATGGTGAGCAGGGAAGAGGTGAAGAGGTACGTGTGGCACCTTCTGCAGTTACATGGGAAGATGCTGGGGGATTTGAACCACTGCCTAGTCCAGTGACATTATCTCCCATTAAAAAAGGTAAATGATAAGACATAAAAGATCCTGTGACATTATTTTGAAGAAGGAAGGGAATTATCCCTGGTGTGTTGATCAACATTTATCCTCCAATCAACATCTTAAAAACCGGTTCAAAAACAGAATTTGCTGGAAAAAGGTCAGCAGGTCTGGCAGCATCTGTGAAGATTAATCAGAGTTAACATTTCGGGTCCGGTGACCCTTCCTCAGAACCCAAGATGTTAACTCTGATTTCTCTTCACAGATGCTGCCTGACCTGCTGAGTTTTTCCAGCAAATTCTGTTGTTGTTCCTGAATTACAGCATCCACACTTCTTTCAGTTCCTAAAAACAGGTTGTTATTTGGTCATTACCACTCTGCTATCTGTGGGAGTTTGCTGTTCACATATTAACTGCTCTCTTACAACGGCAACAACACATCAAAACTACCTCATTAGCTGAAAATCAACGAGATACTCAATGCTTCTCAAACTTGCTAAAATAAATTTAATTCTTTTTAATCTATCGAATAGTATAATTTCAAATTACCATTTACAGAATATATTACTGTTTGGTAAGACAGCAGTAAAATTGCTGGAACAGCTCAGCAGGTCTGGCAGCACCTGTGAAGAGAAATCAGAGTAAAAGTTTCTGGTCCGGTGACAGGATCAGTTCTGAGGAATGGTCACCAGACCTGAAACATTAACACTGATTTCTCTTCACAGGTACTGACAGACTGGCTAAGCTTTTCCAGCAATTTCTGTTTTTGTTTCTGATCTATAGCATCCACAGTTCTTTTGGTTTTGATTTAATAAAATTGCTGGAATTGGTCTGAAGTGTTTGTGAGTTAGGGAAAGTTAATGTTAATTAGAATTCCTGTATGTAATTATTATCCAGTCGGTCCTGATGAGCGGATAACGAGTGAAGACAGGACCATGCTTTGTATGAAACTGTGTGTTTCATTGGTGCAGATGCAGCTAATGCAACAGAAAAAGGGATGGAGTTACCTAAATTCATTATGTCTGGGGAAGCTCATTTGAGCCCCAGGGGGTGATCATGCTTGCTTTTAGTGAGTCACTCTAGGCCGAGGTAAGGGTCCCATGAGCAAGGTTACAAGCCATAGCCAATGGTGCAACCAGCAATTTTTGATGGCGATGGTGGATGAACTAGATAACAGATGCTGACAGGCAGATAATCCTTCAAGGATAGAACTAGCATTTCCTTTACAGACAAATGAGAAAGGCAACAGGAAATTGCCTTGTGGAATTTTCTCGGAGATAGCAAGAACTGTAGATGCTGGAGTCAGAGTAAACACAGTGTGGAGCTGGAGGAACACAGCGGGTCAGGCAGCAAGAAAGTCGATGCTTTGGGTGTCAGGTTGGGACCCTTCATCAGGGCTGAAGGGTTCTGACCGGAAACGTAGACTTTCCTACTCCTCTGATGCTGCCTGACTGGCCATGTTTCTTCAGCTCCACACTGTACTGATTCATGGAATCCTCTCCCTAGTCACGCTTATCACTGAAGTGGAACACTAGAGGCTCTTACGAGCAGCTGATGAGGAAACTGTAGAACTGAAAGAAGGCAAACAATGAGCAGAGGATCTGCCCTTGGACAGATCAATTCCACACATAAGGCTTTGCAAACTGAAAGGTGAACAGCCCACTCACCTGACATTTAAAGGGTCTCTCTGCAGTATGAACTTGTTTGATGTGGCCATTCAAGTGGTCCGGTCTGTAAAAGAAAACATTAAAATTAGCAAGGTATTGAAATATAAGGTGATTTTATTTTTGAAACACACATTTTCTTAAATACATGCACAAGACACAGAACTTCAGGGCACATCTCAATTGTACATGATCAAATACTAGGACTTTTTCTTTTGTTAATTCTAAGAAATTAGGCATTGTTGGCAAGCCTGGTATTTAATGCTGAAAAACTAATAAGCCTTCTCCCTGAACTGCTGCAAACCGTATGGTGAAGAAGGAACTCCAATATTGCTATTAAGTACAGTTTTGAACCCGCAATAATGAAGGAATGGTAACATATGTCCAAGTAAGTATGGTGTCTAACTTTGGCTTTCTAAACTGAACAGGTTGTGGGTGGTGCTGCTGAAGTCGTCTAGGTGAGTGTCAAAATGGCACTTTAAGAGGGAGAAGCACTGTGTGTTATTTAGGCCTACACTTTCCTCATCAGTTACTCACAAGGGCCGAAGTATGCTTTGAAAGGCTAAGCCAAGTTCCAATCATTTTCTAAGGAGAATGTTGGCATTTGATTTCTCTGTTTCCATGGTGCCTTTCAGTTGGTCTCATTGCATCCAACTTTGATTCTACCCGGCTCTTAATGCTAATTTGTCTAATTGTGGGATGGTTGCTAGTCCTGGATTCAGATCTGTATAAAATTACTCCTGGGATTTGTCAGTGGAATCAAGTGTGGAAGCATTGCCATGAGACTGAGGCACAGGGTCATGCATTATTCATTAATGCTACTTGGAAAACTTGTAATTGAACTACAATTTTGTTTTTGATGGTGAATCCAACTCCATTGATTTAACATTTCCTCGTCTGGTTTCCCCAAAGGCTCCAATGAGTAGTAGTTTCCCATTGGTAGTGGTCCTTGCATGTCAGGAAGGCAGATTTGTTGTGGCTCTGCTCACAGTCTATTGTTCCAACAAAGCCGTTCCAGCTAAAACCTTATTAAAGCCTGCTACGTTGATTTGAGCAGATCCAGAGGGTGAACCTCTATTTTAAAAAAGGGAATCGAGTTCTCAAAAGCACATTAACCTGATGAACAAGGCACATGCACACATCAATGGCTATGAAGGTGGTTGAGGGCTACAGTGCGATCAGCACTCTCCAGGTACATAGTTCTCTGCCAGGGTCACCAAAAAGCTCTACAGCAATGGATGACTTGCAATGGAAAAAGGGCTGTGAACCTGTGAGTCACCAAGCACAAATCCGTTCTTATACCTGGTTGCTACTGAGCTCTTGCATTTGGGGCAGAAGTAGCTCCCCAGGGGCTGCATCCAAGACTGAGCAGTCATCTTAATTTCTGCTCATCTTGTTTGAGGAAAGGGCTAGCAAACATGCCCCAAAACAGTCCTAACCAGAAAACCATATCTAGCAGATTCATCATTCTCATGGCTGGAACACACACAAGCAATTAAATACACGATTTTCTGTACCTGGAATGTGTACGCTTTTACGGACAATCAAAACAGTGAATCCCAAAAAGAACATATTCAACGTTACAGGTAAACTGACATCAACCGATAAACCACACAGTCTGGAGCTCAAAGTGACTCCAGAACTACATTGTTAGCAGAATGTTAAAATCAGGACTTTAGCGCAAGTGGGAATTCTTTGATATGTCTCAATATCGATAGTCAGATTGTCAGAGAAAGCCACAAGGAAGAATTTGGAGAGTGTATTTGGGACAGTTTCTTAGAACAATGCATTGAGGATACAATTAGGGATTAGGCTATTTTGGAACAGATGATGTATAATGAGGTAGATTTAATAAATTATGTCAGAGTAAGAGATCCTCTCAGATTGTGATCATAACATGGTAGAATTTAGCAGTCCATTTGATGAGGAATTTGGGTTGGAAACAACTGTGCTATGCTTAAATAAAGGTAATTACAAAAGAATAAGGACAGAGCTGACTGCAGTAGACTGGGGAAGAGGTTTAGCAGCAAAGACTGTTGAGGAACAATGGCAGATGTTTAAGTAAATTGTTCATGGCTCACAGCAAAGAAATATCCCAATGAGGAAGAAGAATTCAAGGAAGGGGATATGATAGCCAAGCAAATTAAGGATAGCTTCAGATTGCAGAAAGAACATACAATGTGGCAGAGATTAGTGGTAAGCCTGGGGATTGGGAAAATTATAATATTATATATTAAAATTATATTAAAAAAGGCACTAAAAATATAAGGAAGGAGAATAAACTTTGAGGGTAAATTTGCAAGTAATATCATGAAGGACAGCAAAAGCTTCTTTAAATATATAAAGAGACAGAAGCGAGAGTGAACGTATGCCCTTTAGAGAATGCGGTTGCAGGTAGTATATTAGCATGGATAGAGGGTTAACTAACTAATAGAAGACAGAGTAGGGATTAAGGGAGAATTTTCAGGATGATAACCTTCTCCTTGTTTGTGTGTTTGTATTAGCTCTGATCAAAGTTCCTTGAGCTGCAGGTGTCCAGGATCCTTAAACTCCCACATACTGCAATTATCATATACCACGTGCTCGGTTTTACCTGTCTGATCTTATTAGATTATTAATCGAATCACAAATTTTAGTTTTATTAGATTAATTGGTTCAGTAGCTTAAATTGCTAATTAGTCAAATTAAACCTCATTCCCTTTAGCATTGATTTGCACCTTCACCAAATTCCTATCTTTAGCACTCTTGTTCAGATATTTTCAAATCAACCATTTCATTGATGCTGTGTATAACCTCTAAAACGTGAGACTTGAACTTGAGCCCCCTGGGGTAGTCTTGGGTACACTACCCTCCCTTTTAGCACTCTTGTTGAAGACGCATTCAGTTCTACAATCACTTTCTGTGGTAGCCAATCCTGTTAACTCATAGCGCAGATGATTCATTCAAGTTAGACCTATTAATTCAGCTTACTAGGGTCCTCTTGTGGCACAGAGATAGGGTCCCTACCCCTGGACCGAGAGACCCGCATTCAAGTCCCACCTGCTCCAGAATTGTTATAACATCCCTGAACAAGTTGATTAGGAAAAACTGGTTAAATTAAAAATTAATTTAGCTTACTGGACCTCTTGTGGTGCAGTAGTAGTGTCATTACCTCTGATTCAAGTTCTACCTACTCTAAACACAGTTTCTGTACAATGGATGTCTTAATTTCCAGTTTTTTTTTCCCACTTCTTTTAAAGTTATATCCAATTCTGAACATTAAACTAAATTTGGGCTTGAGGGAGACATATGAGCAAAAGCACACCATTCAGCCCATTGAGACTGCTGCACCATTCAATAGATCATGATTGATGTTAATACAGATGTTAAGCTACCTGGCCTATTATTTCCTGCTGTTGAAAAACTAGTGGAGAGCCTTCTCCTTGAACTGCTGCAAAGTGTATGGTGGAGAAGGAACTCCAACAATGCTATTAAGTACAATTTTGACCCAGCAATAAAAAAAAATGATGCGCATCCAACTAAGTATAATGCTGTGAAACACCTTCTGACTTTGCCTTTCTAGACTGAACAGTTTGTGTGTTTGGAGATGCTGCTGAAGTTGCCGAGAGTCTCAAACTGGCACCTTAACAGGGAGAAGTGCTGTGTGTTATGCAGGCCTACACTCTCCTCATTAGTTACTTCTTTCTGAAACTCTCTGTTTCCCTCACTTTTTGAATAAGGCATTTACATTTATTATCTTCCAATCTAATGGGACCTTCACTGGATCAAGGGAGTTTTGGAAACTTAAAACCCAAATCTTCAACTACCTCACTAATCACTTCATTTAAGATCCCAGAATGAAAATCCAACATGATCTGGGTACTTATTTATTGGCAGCTCCAACAATTTACTCAGTACCACTTTTGTTGAGTTCCTCCCTCTCTTCCATTTCCTGATTAACGGTGGGTTCTGGGATGTTACTTGTACCCTCTACCGTGAAGGCTGATGCAAAGTATCTGTTCAATTGATCTGCCATCTCTTTACTTTCCACTATTAATTCTCCATACTCACTTTCTGTAGGACACACTAATCTTCTTGAAATATTTATAGAAATCGTTATTTGTTTTTATAGTTTTGGCTAGCTTTCTTTTGTCCTTGAAATTTTCCCTCAATGTTTTTGATCATTCTTTGCTTTTACGTATATTTTGTTCAAACTCCTGAGCTACTACTGCCTATCTTTGCACAATTGCGCTTTTTCTAAATTCGATACTATCTTTAACCTTTCTAGTATCCACATACAGTAGGTTAATCCCTTCTGAAATATCCCTTTAATTGTCTGCCACTCCACCTCTATTAATCTATCTTTAACCTAATTTGCCAATTCAAATTAATCAATTCAACTTTCATGCCAGAAGTGCCCTTATTTAAACTTAAATGAAAGGAATCAGAACCACTCCTCTCTCCTTCAAAATTAATGCAAAATTCAAAATTATGATCACTGCTATCTAGCAGTGCCTTCATTATGCGATCATTAATTAATCCTAGCCTATTAATCAACCTCTACAGTCGTCGTCTTTCTAAAGAAAACATTTTGGAATCAAGGGCTAAAAATCTTCAAAAGTATTTTGGGGTTCCAAACGGTCAGCACAACAATAAAGATTGGAAGTAGTTGAAGACCCGACTCTATTGGGACAGTGGGACCATTTATAGAATCACAGAATTGAATAAATGGCCATAGCACTCAAGGTATGGTTAATCAGGGCACGATAGGAATCCAAATGACTTCTTGCAACTACTGTGATTCTTCAAGTGTTTGGTTCATTTTTCTCTTTGCTTTATTCATCTTTTAAAAATATCTGATCTTGGGTTCAGAACAGCACAAGGCCAGTATTCATTGCGTATCCTTAATTACTCTTAAGAAATTTGGTTAGCTGCCTTCTTGAATGGCTACAAAAAGATATAGGTACATCCATTTTGCTATTAAGGAATTTCAGAGTTATAACCTAGGGTTTATGAAGGTGTGGTGATATTTTTCAAACTCAGTAATTAGAATAAAATAGAATTCAAACTTGGTTCATAGTTATTTGA